TTCACTTACAGTTCTTGCCATGCTTCTCTATGAATTTGAAAATGTCCAAAAATAAGGATTTTCCTTGTCAGTATTATAAAATATTTCATCTATGCTTAGAAATTCTAGGAAATTTATTTTCATAGTTTATAATTAAGTTTGTATTGAACTATAATTTATTTTGTCATAAAGAGTGAGATAGGAATTTCTTCACTTGAAATGTCATTTGATATTAAATTATTTCAAATTTATTTTTTGAGAATTTCTATTTTGTTGTAACTATACTTTTTAATATTTTATGACATTTTTAATTCTAATAATGTAGATGTCTCCTTTTTTTTTTTTTTGAAAAACTTATTTATATATTTTGAAGGCAGAGTTACAGAGAGAAAGGAAGGGACAGAGAACTCTTCCATTCACTGGTTTACTCCCTAAATGGCCACAATGGTCAGGGTTGGGCCAGGCTGAAGCCAGGAGCCAGGAGTTTCTTCTTAATCTCCCACATGGGTACAGGGGCCCAAGCACTTGGGCTATCCTCTGCTGCTTTCCCAGGTGCATTGACAGGGAGCTGGAAGGGAAGTAGAATAGCCAGGACTCGAACCAGCGCCCCTATGGGATGCCAGCCTCACAAGTGGTGGTTTAACCTGCTGTGCCACAACACCGGCCCCAGATCTCTCTTTTTATTTCAAATTGTTTTGGAATTTCCAGTGCCTTTATTCTTCTCAAGTAAATTCTGAAATAGACTCATAAAGTTCAAGATGGATTTGAATTTTATGGGTTGAGGGGCTGGTGTTGCAGCACAGTGGGTTAAACTGCCACTTGTGACTCCAGCATCCCACATGGGATTGCCAGTGGCTGCTCCATTTCCCATCCAGCTCCCTGCCAATGTGCCTGAGAAAGCAGCAGAGGGTGGCTCAAGTGCTTGGGCCCCTACACCCATGTGTGAGACCCGGAAGAAGCTCCTGGCTCCAGGCTTTGGCCTGGCCCAACCCTGGCTGTTGCAGTCATCTGAGTACTGAACCAGTGGATGGAACATCTCTCTCTGTCTCTGTCTCTCCTTCTGTCACTTTGCCTTTCAAATAAAATATATAAATAAAATTAAAATTAATTTGGGGGCCGGTGCCACGGCTCAATAGGCTAATCCTCTGCCTAGCGGCGCCGGCACACCGGGTTCTAGTCCCGGTTGCCCCTCTTCCAGGCCAGCTCTCTGCTGTGGCCCGGGAGTGCAGTGGAGGATGGCCCAAGTCCTTGGGCCCTGCACCCCATGGGAGACCAGGATGAGTACCTGGCTCCTGCCATCGGATCAGCGTGGTGCGCTGGCCACAGCGTGCCAGCTGCGGCGGCCATTGGAGGGTGAACCAACGGCAAAGGAAGACCTTTCTCTCTGTCTCTCTCTCTCACTGTCCACTCTGCCTGTGGGAAAAAAAATTAATTTGGGAACAGGCTTGACATTTTAATAATAATCTCACAGTAATAACAGAATTTCTGTGGATAGCAAAGAATCAGAGTGTCAAATAATCACTACAGAATTTTCGTGTTTATTTGAGTAGTGTTTTTGTTGTAAACAAATACTAAATTACTATATACTGGATATTACGGATGCAAAGATAAATGGAACAGCACCACCGCTACTCAAAAACAGCATCATTGCCACTGCTTCATGAAAAAGAATAGTTAAAATAGTGTATACGGGTGGGAAATTTATAAGCACTAAGAGTACAGAAGGTACTGTGAGGGAGAGTATTTATTTAATTCTCTCTGCAATGCTCAGGCTCCCCAGAGGAGATGATGCCTGACCAAGGATTTGGGGCTGCCATAGCCAAATACTACAGAATTGGTAGCTTGCACAACAGACTGTAATTTCTCACATTTCTGGAAGTCTGAGAGCAGGGTACCAGCATGTTCAGGTTCTGGTGAGGGCACTCTCTTTGGCTTGCAGACAGCTGCCTTCTGGCTGTGTCGGGCTGGGGTGTGGGCATATCTTCCTCTTCTTAAAAGGCTAGCAGTTCCATAGATTTGGGTCCCACTGGGGCTAGCATTTGACACGGTGGTTCAATTGTCATTTGGGATACCTGCATCCCATACAGGAGTGTCTGGATTAGAATCCTGGCTGTCCTCTGGATTCCAGCTTCCTGCTAATGTACCCCTGGGAGGCAGCAGGTGATAGCTCAAGTAGTTGACTCTTTTCCATCCACGTGGGCTCCTGCCTTTGGCCTGGCCTGGCCTCTGCTTTTGTGGGCAAATGGAGAATGAACCAGTGCTTGTGAGATTTCTGTGTGTGTGTTTATGTGTTTGTCTATTTCTGCCTCTCAAATAAACAAAATACATTTTTAAAACCACAACTACTATCTTTTGAGGGGCTAGGGCTTCAACATATGAATGATGGGCAGGGACACATCCAATTCATAGCAGATAAATGGGCATTTGCTAGGCAGCCAAGTTACAGAAAAGTAGTTGAAACAGGGGGAATGTAGCAGATATAGAAACACAGAGGCCCAAAACAATAGGGCGTGATCCAAGAACTACAACTGGCTTAATGTTGCTGGAATGTAAAGTGGAAGAGTACGTGGTATTTTCATAAAAATGGGGCTAGAACAGTTGGGGTGGAGCTGGGGAGGCAGATTATGAAGGACCTCTGTGGACCAAGCTTAAGAACCAAGAATTTTATCTTAAAGGTAAAGAAAGGGGAGTTGCAGGCAGCTTTTAAACAGAAGGGTGATATGGTCAGATTTCCATTTTTGGTAACCTGGGTGAAGAAGCAATTTGAGCAATAGAAAAATTGGAAGCAGCAGCTGAGTAGGGAAGCTAATGCTTCCTTGTATGAGATGAATTAAACCAGCAGCAGCAAAGACAAGAGAGACAAAAATCTGAAAAATGTCTAGGAGATGACACACTTTGACTAGATATTTTGGGTGTGGGAATTGAGAGAACCACAGGAGGCCAGTTAGGTTGATGTCTTCCTTGTCCAGTTTTCACAGAGACGTGTCACTGGGTCTGCATTTTACAGAATAAAAAGGATGACTCATCAGTTTCTGTATGGATGAGTCTGCAAACTGTCCTGAAGTTATGTCACTCTTAACTGGGTTCATAGCTCAGGCTTCACCCCTTGTTTCAGAGACACCTGGGGAAGTCAGCCATCTTTTTCTGGGTTCATTTTTCACCTTTAAAAAAAGGGAGGGGAGAGGATTTGACCTTGATCTCCTATGAATCTCTGCTCTAACACTGTTCCCACACAATTGAATTCCTTTTAGTCCATTTGCTTCTGTACACTCAAGTGTTGTGCTGGGTTTTGTAGGTTATAGAAATAAACCAGTGATTCCTGTCTTTGACAAACTGGTTTTGTCAGAGAAAACTAACCCATGGTACTACCACTAGAAGTAACGTGTAATTAAGTGTTGATTTATATATGGTGCAGCCTATAAATGTGTTCATTGATTCATTAATTGAAAGTCTTTACTCTCATGAAAATGATTCTCTAATGGAGGACAAAAGGTCATCAACATAGAATAAACTAAATGGTGATGAGTGACACAGAGGTCAACCAATAAGGAGAGTGTGTGAGTTGAGAGTCTGGCTTACTAGTTTATATGGAGCAATGAGAGAAGCCCCTGTAATAGAGTGATGTTTGAACAGAGACCTAGGAAGCAGAGTCAGCCATATTTTATAGCCATATCTATCTATCTATCTATCTATCTATCTATCTATCTATCTTCTTTCCATCTATCTAGCTGATAGTGTAGGTAGTTTGGAGAGCAGTGTTTCAGAGAGAGGGAACACCAAGTACAGTGGCCCTTAGAAGAGACCAGGCTGTGCTTTGCTCATTGGAGGACTAGGAAGGAAGCTGGTGTAGCAGAAGGAACGTGAGGCAGAAGGGTGAGTCCACCAAGGGGGCAGGGAGAGGATTATTCAGGGACTCAGAGGCTGTTATAAGGGTTTTGACTTCTTCCAAGTGACAAAGACATTAGAGCCTTGTAAGTGGAGTCATGCCATGATTCGAGCTAGGTTTTTGAAGCATCACCCGTGCTGTTCTGTGGAGAAGAGACTAGAAGGCAGAGGCAGAAGAAAGACTTCTTAGGAGGCAGTTGCAGTAATTCTGGTGGAAGATAGGAATGGCTTGGACCTGGTGGCAGCAGTGAAAGAGGTGAGAAGTACTGAGATGTGGTGGTATTTACAACACATGAGTGTAATCATGTGTTGTGTAATGGCATTTCAGGCCTCAATGAACCTCATATACAACGGTGGTACCGCCCATAAGATTATACTGCCTGGTGACGTTGAAATCATTTTACTCCGTGGAAGTACAATCTGTAACGCTCGCACAATGACAAAATCACCTAACGACACATTTCACAGGATGCATTCCTGTAGTTAAGTGATGCATGGCCATATATACTGACAGGCTGTGCTGAGGGACTCGATGGGGCATGGGAGAAGAGCAGAAGTTTTTGGCCTGAGTCACTGGAAGCATGAAGTTTCCCTTTGTGGAGTTGGAAAAGACTATAGGAGACCCAGGTCTGTGGAAGAAAATCAAGAGTTCATTTTGTTCTGGTTAAGTTGAGATGCCTATTAAGATGTCCAAGTGGAATCATCAAGAAGGCAGTTGGGCCGGCGCCGCGGCTCACTAGGCTAATCCTCCGCCTAGCGGCGCCGGCACACCAGGTTCTAGTCCCGGTCGGGGCGCTGGATTCTGTCCCGGTTGCCCCTCTTCCAGGCCAGCTCTCTGCTGGGGCCAGGGAGTGCAGTGGAGGATGGCCCAAGTGCTTGGGCCCTGCACCCCATGGGAGACCAGGAAAAGCACCTGGTTCCTGGCTCCTGCCATCGGATCAGCACGGTGCGCCGGCCGCAGCGCGCCGGCCGCGGCGGCCATTGGAGGGTGAACCAACGGCAAAGGAAGACCTTTCTCTCTGTCTCTCTCTCTCACTGTCCACTCTGCCTGTCAAAAAATTAAAAAAAAAAAAAAAAAAAAAAAAAAAAAAAAAAAGAAGGCAGTTGGATAAATGAGTCGGGAGCTCAGAAGAAAGGACCAGCCTAGCAATATACAGATGGCACCTAGATTTAACAGCCAAAAACTGGTAGATAAGAGACCAAGATCGTAGGCAGAGAAGAGGTCAGGCAGCAATCCAGGGTCTAGAGGTCAGGCAGATGAGGAGGAATCAACAAAGGGGACTGGTGAGAGAGAGGGGGGCAGAAATCTCGGAGCCTGTAGCACGCTAGAAGCCACAGGAATACCCTGCTCTGAGGTGTTGACAGTCACCATCATCGCCAGGCTCCTAAGATGTTGGTAGGAAAGATGAGTATCAAGAATGGCCCGTCATGGTGTTCAAGTGATGGAGACACATCAGTCGTTCCACTAATGATTTTACTAGTCCTAAACATCTTCACTGCAAGCTTTAGTTGGTCCTAAGTGTTTTCCCTGTAAGATGAAGAATGTAAGTTGTTCAGGGTAATTTCCAAAAGTTAGTCATTTCTGGCAGCAGCAAAATTTCTACTCATGATTGGCAGGCATGCATTTTTATAATTAGTAATAGTCTTTCTGAGTGTTAATTTTCTTCTCCTCAAGAATTGTTTATTCTTCCATTCAGTCACTAAAAAAAGAAAATTACAAAAAAAATACTTATTGAACACCTGTCCTGTGCCAACTCCAAGTTTTTTCTGTCCCGATGGATCTCATTTCACATGCGCAGGATTTTGCTTGGCCTGTGTGGCAGTCGGCTTCAGCCTCCCCGCAGTGGGTTTTTTCCAGCCTACCTCGTCCAGCGTCCGCGGGTGCAGGGCCTGAAGTCGGTCAGCCGGTGCGTCCCTCCCACGGCTGAAGAGTGGCACTCCAGGCGCCCGAGAGCGATATGCAGATGAGGTGGGCAGGCGGAATGTAGATGAGGTGGGCGGGCCTCCCCTGGCGGGTAGCGTGGAGTCCAGGAGGGCGGGCGGCATGCAAATGAGTGGGCGGGGCACGCCCGCGCGCGAGAAGCCGCTCTGCCGGCAGCCACCGGGAACTGGAAGGCGCCCGGCCCTTTCTTTGACTGGAGCGGACCCGCCGGACGCGGCCGCCTCGCCCGCCGGAGCCGGCTGGGGCTGGGGCAGGGTGGACACTCAGTCCGAGGCCGGCCAGCCGGCCGCTGCCCGAATCGGCTGAGCATGGGCAACCACTCGGGGCGGCCCGAAGATCCCGGAGCAGGTCCGTACGGTGGGCTGGGGCGGGGGGTGGTCGCGCCGCGCCCCCTCCTCAAGAGCGCGCCCCTCCCCCACCCGCCTCGGGGCCGCCGGCGGCCGCGCTGCCCGCGGCGCCGAGTGGGGCGCGTGGGGAAGGTGAAGTTTCCCAGGATGTGATTCTCGCCTCGGGAAGGCGCGGATGGGGTTGTGAAAATTTACCTGTGCGTGTGCCGCGACCAGGAAATGCCGCTCTGTCGGAACGCGTACCTGGAAGCCGCGGCCAGAGCGTGCGGGCCCGCGCGCGGGTGGGCAGGGTGGGCGGCGCGCGCTGCGGGGTCGGGTCCGGCGGGTCCGGCGGGTCCAGCCGAGGGCCGCCGGGACGGGTTCTCCCCCCACAGCCGAGCAGGCGGCTCCCCGCAGACTTTCTGGGCGTTTGCCACGCAGAGTGTGACTTGGCAGTGGGTTGTTGTTTTGTTTTTTGGGTTCATTGTCCAGAACCATCAATGCGTCGTTGGCAGATCGCGCTCTCTCTGGATCCCGCCGAAGGTGGCGACCCGCCCATCAGCTGATTTGTGACACTTGCTGGGACCCATCTTGTCCCCGCCCCCATCCCCCCAATAATCTGTGCTTATTCTGGGGTACCAGAAACTTCTCGGGCTTGTCAGATTGCGGTTTCCTCAGAAACGGGGCGAAGCTGCGCTCTGGTGTTCACCTCCCGGCCGGTCACGGGCTCCCGCACACATGTGGGTGCCGATCCCCGCGGGGTGCGTGAGCAAACAAAACAGAACGTTTCTGTGCTGTCACGTGAGGTCATGCGATGGCGTTTAGCCTCAGAAATTGCTCCCTGACTGATTGGGAAGAGATGAGTGACCTTGCCCAGGGTCCGCGGGGTGGGGGGCTGGGAGGAGGGCGACTGGACGCCCGTGTTTCTGTGACACAGAACACGAAGGCTCTTTCAAAGGAGTGATTTTTTAAATTTTAATGTGAATGAGGAAATTGAGACTCTGAGAGGGGAAGCGACTTGTCCAAATGACTTATCCCTGGAAGTGGGAGCAGGTGCTATAATTAAAACCTTGGTCTTAGCCTCAGTCCATGGCTTTTCTTCGCCTCCCGGTCCCTGAGCTGCCTATCTTGGCCATGTCCTTGGGGCTAGGAGGTGCCTCCACAGGCACTGGACTGGTGCAACAGCCTGGAGTGAAAACTTTGATAGCCGGAGAGGTGTTCCCTTAGGAAGAATCTTAGCAGTGGGGTTACTGATTACATAGGGGTAAGCCTTAATCTGTGGGAAGATTAACTGATGTGTATGAAATAAAAAGAATATATTTGTTATAAACAGCCCTGTTGGGAAACTCTTAGGCAGAGGATACGTAGCATTTCAAAACTACCTCTCATGGATACGTGAAAAACCCCAATGTATTATTCCCTTTGTGTTACAATTACAGAAAGACTAGCACTCTTGTTGGAGCTTTTAAATACTGTTTGCTTGTGTTCCAATTTCTAAGTGACTTTACTTCTTAAAGCAGGAAGTAAAAAGGATTATGTTTATGTCCGTGACTTATTTTATTGTATTTTTTGAGTGCATGTAATTTCATACTGGGACTTCAGACTGACTTGTTGCAAGTAAATAAGATGCTTAGGAAATCTTGGTAAAGATTTTAAATGCTAGGATATTGGCTGAGTGTGTGAGTATAATTTTAACTGGTCTTCACCACTGTGATGAAATGCTGTAGAATTTGTTAGTGAGAGTTTGGAAATGAGAGTTTTGTTAGAGATGATCTGCTTTACCACAGGGGTTAGAACAGAGTGGGGTGCCTCCTGCTGGTAGCTGTGATACATTGGACAGAAATCTCAACAGGTGCTTTAGTGGGTTAGCAGCGCAAGGGGTCCAAGGATGGTAGTGGTAACCAGGAAACAGAAGGGAGGTCGGATGAGGTGAGAGTAACACTCATGTCTGGTTGATATGCAGTTCCTGTACTGTGTCACTTTTGTTCCTAGAGAGCAGACTGATAGAATTAGGGTTGCAAGAGGTTTGTTAGAGAGTGACACAGGAGAAAGAAAAAAGGGAGAGGAGGTAGAATTTGGTAGGGAAAGCCTTTAGACCACCATGCAGATGCACACCTGTGAAGAGAAGTGGGGAGGCCATAGGTTTGGACAGAGAGAGCCTCCGATCTGGTGACTGCTTGGCCAACAGATTGGATAGAACTCCACAGTAAAGGCTGCCCATTAAAGGAGTCCCACAATGGGCAGAAATGGCCCGTCATTGGCTGGAGGCTGCCTGGGGAGAATTTGCCTTCAGCTCAAAAGCCTAGGAGCTAACAGCTGGAGGCTGTCAGCTGACTGCAGTCCTTCCAGGCGAATGGCAGGTTCTTCCTCCAATACAGGTCCCAGTGGCAACCTCCTTGCTGGACAAAGAAGGCCTTGTAAAATAAAGTCCTCCTCTGGTGGGGCAGGGCAGTGCGGGGGAGGTGCTGCTGGCTTAAAAGGTCTGGGGTTATACCATCTCCTCCAGGTGGAAACTTCTCGTACCTGGTGGGATGTGACAGGGCAGGAGACTCATGCTTCTTTTCTAGCCCTGGAATTAGCCATGGGCTCCTCTTTTGTGGTGTTTGTGATTCTCTGGATTGAGTCATTGTGACTTAGCTTGGCACTGCAGGATGCATAAGAGAAATGGGTCATGTTAAAGACATGGAAGCTTGCATATATTGGGGCAGCTAGAATCAGAAGAACTTGTTGAAGAGGGCATCTTATTCCCCAGAACAAGGGTAGGAAACAGGCCTATGGGCTGTGTAAGGCCCACGAAATTGTTCGATCTGGCCCTGCCAAGGCAACCACAGGTGGGACTTGGAATTCAATAAATCTATAGCAGGCTAATTTTTAAGTTGATAATCTTGTATGGCCTGTGAATGATGTGATAAATATCCAAATGGCCCTTGGCAGAAAAAAAGGTTCTTCACTTCTGAAGGTTCCAGTTAGCAGTCCTTTGGCTTCCAAACAGATTGTCAGTGTGGGCTTTGTCAGAGAAGGCTGCGGGGCATGGTTGTGTAGTCTGTGCACTGTTGAAAGGCATCTGGGTAAAAGGGTAAGTGGTCCCAGCTGGGGCTGTATTAAAGCGTGCCATTTTGCTTTTTGTTATTCACACAAAGTGCCCAGGATGCTAAAGGATGCCAAAAAAAGTAAGCTCAGAAGGCTTTCTTAGTCCATACTAGCTGATATGGGCTTCCTATTTCTTTTTTTAAAATTACTTTAAAAGAAAGAAAGAGGGAGACAGAGATAGAGGGAGAGGAAACACCCATCTGTTAGTTTACTTCCCAAATGCCTACAACAGTTGATGCTGGACTAGGACCAGAATCGGAGGTAGGATCCCAATACAGGTCTCCCAAGTGGGAAGCTAGAACCCAATTTGAGCCATCATTGCTGTGTCCTGGGATCTGCACTGTCAGGAGTTGGGAGCTGACGTTGGAACTCAGCTCTAGGGAGGTGGGCATCTTAACTGCAGGTCTAAATGCCTACGCCTTACTGTTTATTTTAAATTTGCATATGTGTGTTTTTAAATAAAAATACACATGATATGAGTAAAAATAAATGCTTCTATTCATAGTCCACAGGTCATACTGTGTGTAAGGTACAGTCAATGCTGACTGTGGTTGCAGATGAAACTCAAGTAGTCACTTAAGACATTGAGAGTTGATTTCTCCCACATACTGCAGTCTGGAATGAGTTGGGGCCATGAGGTGAGCTACAAGTGGTTGTGAGACTCAGGCTAGTGGATGTTCAGTCCGTGACTCCCAGACTGTGGTGGATCTGCCTGTAGGCAGGAGAAGAAAGAGTGAATGGAAGATCCTGCAGGAGGTCTTAGCAACCAGGTCTTGAAGTGGTGCATGTCATTTCCATCCACGTGCCACTGGCCAGACTCAGTCACACAGCTGCATAAGGACCCTCACTCAGCCTCTGCAGAGTGGCAGACAGGGGACAACATAGACATTGGTGAACTCTTGCAGTCATATTCCAGATGTTGACCATTCTCAACTACCTTTTTTTTTTTTTTAAGATTTTTTTTTTTTAGGCTGGCGCTGCAGCTCACTAGGCTAATCCTCCACCTGCGGCGCTGGCACACTGGGTTCTAGTCCCGGTTGGGGTGCCAGATTCTGTCCCAACTGCTCCTCTTCCAGTCCAGCTCTCTGCTGTGGCCCGGGAGTGCAGTGGAGGATGGCCCAAATCCTTGGGCCCTGCACCCACATGGGAGACCAGTAGAAGCACCCGGCTCCTGGCTTCGGATCAGCACAGCACACTGGACGTAGCAGCCATTTGGGGGGTGAACCAATGGAAGGAAGACCTTTCTCTCTGTCTTTCTCTCTCACTGTCTAACTCTGCCTGTCAAAAAAAAAATTTTTTTTTTAAATACTCATCCAAAAAGCAGAGTCACAGAGAGAGGAGGAGAGACAGAGCAAGAGAGCTCTTCCATCTGTTAGTTCACTCCCCAAATGGCTGCAATAGCAAGGGCTGGACCAGGCTGAACCAGGGAGCCTGGAGCTTCTTCTGGGTCTCCCACGTGGGAGCAGGGGCCCAGTGACCAGGGTCATCCTCAGCTGCTTTCCCAGGTGCACTAGCAGGGAGCTGAATTGTAAGTGGAGTAACTGGGTCTTGAACTGGTGCCTGTATGGGACATTGGCACAGGTGGAGGCTTAACCTGCTACGCCACAATGCCAGCCCCTCTCAACTACATTTGTGTCGATATTTTATGACAAAAATTTTAATCAGGAAAGTTGAAGGACTTGTGTAATGAATGTCTGGACACATACCATCTTGATTCTATAATTAATAGAATTAATCTCTCCATGCATCCATTAGTCTATCTTATTTTTTAAAGTATTTTAAAATAATTTTTTAAAATTATCTTTATAATTCTATATAATATGCTATACATTTATCTTTCTCCTTTTCCTGGGGCAGAGAGACAGAGAGAACTCCCATTCACTGGTTCATTCCC